CGACGAACCATGGCTATGTGCAATCTTCTCGCCTTCATTGTCTTTACCAGCTGGCCTTGCATGCCTCCCCGTCTTTTGAGTGATCCTGAATATAAGGGCCCTGATGCTGAGGAGGCCAAGAGCTTTGGCTTTGTCGACACTGTTCACAGCGGTACTGGAGAGAGCAGTGTCTGGACCACCAACCGATTCTGCAACCAATATGGTAAGTGAAACTCACCTGAATTTTGATCTCATACAAGGCTAACTAAGATGATAGCGGCCATGCCATCTCTGCACTTTGGTTACTCTCTCCTTGTCGGCCTTACCGTCGCCACTATCCCTATTACCGGCCTGCGATCTACCTCCTGGAAGCGAATAATGATCGTTGCCGCGGGCATGTCATACCCAGCTTTGATTCTCACTGCTATTGTCGCCACAGCCAACCACTTCATCCTCGATGCTGTAGCCGGTGCTATGGTTTGTGCTATTGCCTGGAACTGCAACGACTTCCTCCTCAACTTTTGCATCCTCGAGGACTACTTCCTATCCATGCTTCGCCTTCACAAGCCTGTGAACTGGACCGACCCCGAAACAGCTGTCGAGCCTGAGTTCCAGACTGGTCTCCAGAGTGAAGACGTCTAAGACGTGTAAAAGAGCCTTTCGAGAACGAGCCCCACGAATTTTCTTCCTAAATACCCGACTCCGTTAATCTATCTGTTTCGAGGGGAGGGCCTTTGCCTTATTGGTACAATCCGTTTCAGCCTTTTCAAAGCATTCACAAGACGTTCCATGTCTGGACAGGACTGATTTTTGTGGACGTAGTGTCAGGTTTGGCGATGGTGGCATGTTGTTAATTTGAAGGAGTCGGGCCATTGATGTTCTGAGCAGTGGGGGGTTCTTAGACGTGCGCAGAAAGGGGTTCAGTATACCACGCCATACGATATGGTAAATAAATTACTACCAATAATACTACCAAACTGAATATTACACTCTGTACCTTAAGTGAGACTGGCTGCCGATACATTTAAAGGTACTTTATATGCCACGAGTTGATGCTATGAATTTTGACGAAATAAAATTAAAGTCGTATTTCCTTGGGCCTCTGAGATGAACAATCAACTGAAACTCGACGTTGTGAGGAGATATGGAGGTAAAACCTTGGGCTTTTGTTCTTGATGATAGAAGGACTTAGGTAAATTTAGTATAGATTTGTCAATTGAGTATGACTTAGCAGGCCTTAAGACTGAGGTAGTTGGTTTTCACTTTTCACTGTGGAAACTCTCTTGCTCATTGGGGAAAAGGGTTGAGTTGTAGAGCTTCTGCTGAGAAATGAGAAACAAGAAACCTGGTAGAGTTTGTCCTAAACTTATTATCAGCATGATCCTCGGCAAGGATCATGAAAACGAGACTTGCTGCGGGCTGGACTCTCTCCAAGTATCTTCATATTGGTGGCCTAGTAAAATCGTATGAATAACCTACCTACCTAGTCATTAACCTGGTTAAGGCTGATTTACGTATTTGCAGTACGCGGTCACTGAAGTAATTCAAAGCCATTCCATGCCTAATGCTTGTGACGACGCAAGCTGCAACTTCATCTCCCACCAATAAACTGCCGTCATGATACTTTTCTGGTAAGCCTTATGAGCACGGGTACATGTGTCTCTGCTAAAACTGCGCTATCTGACAGCAGATACAGCCACGGGTTCAGGTACCTCTGCTAAGATGGGGCGGGGAGCTTCTGTGGCGGGGCACGTCGTCATCTGTGATCCGTTTGGGCAAGAGGCAAGAGACAGAGACAGCTGCCTTTTGCTTGCTTGCGTTTACTCACATGCCACCACCGGAACTACCTTTACCTTTACCTTACCTTACCTTATTCTTCGTCATTCTCTTCTTTTATCGTAACCATTTATATACTGTTACTTCATACTCAAAATCTGACTGTAACTCCGAATAACAAATCAAGCCTGAGGACAAAGGCTACTCAAGACGAAAGCTGCCTAGAGCGACAGCTCTACTACTTCTTCTTCTCATGTCGCAGCAGGATTCTGGGGCAGCTGATGCCCCGCCACAGCAGCCCTCGCGACGATCTGCGTCACCATCAAACAGTTTCTATGCGCTGAGCGATGATGAGGAGGGCGAGTACAACACGATTAGAAATGCCGATACTGGGAGAGGTGTAAAGCTTCTATTTTCCAAGAGCAAGGTAAGTAACATCCGCGCCTATGCCCTGCGCAATAGGCTGCGCTGCAGAGTGACGGACGACATCTGACAATCGCAGGTTTATGTTCACCCAACACCCTCCTCAAAGGACAACATTCCAGGATATATCGCACTTCTTCAGCAGCGAGGCCATCACGAAGAGCGCCCTACTTCATCCGCTTCCAATGAATCAACGTCGATTGCCTCCTCGGATCTCCTCCTTGCCTGGATTCCCGAATCTGCCCTGGGGGATTCCGCCAGCATCTACGTCAAGGTCGACCTTTGCGATGGAGACTCACCCCCGAAACAGTCCTACCTTGTTCCTCCCCCGCCGACCGTCACTAGCCATGTTGGATCTGTCGGTGGATATGCGTTTGCGATTCCCGTGAGCGCCGTCTATTCGCTCCTCGTTCGGCCTCCTAGTCTGGGATGGTGGTATGGATCTGTCATCATCAACTCCCGTGCGGGCGACAGCTTTCCCGCCCTTTTCTTCCATGACAATGAGTGCCAAAGCACGATCCTTCAAAAGAAGAAGATAGCGCGTGATACATTTGATCCTTTCGGAGAATCAGGACAGATGTTCTGGGGTGGCGACGAGGTTGTGAAGTGGCTACGTCGTTACGTTAAGATTGAGCGATCTGGTGCTGAACCCAACATTTACTTGATCGAGCCATCTAAGGAGGACAGCGAAGCATTTGGCCACAAACTCACTTCCAGCCCATCGCAAATTGGTCGTCAGGATAGCAATGTGGGAGTGCAGCGCGGCGCTGCAGGACCGTCAAATCGGGATGCAGAGATGGATCCTTTCGTCAAGTTGATCAAGGAAACTGGGTGGAATATTATGGAGAAATTCAGCAAAGTAACCACCTTTACGCGGAGAGCGGCTCAAGATATTGTCGAGAACCCCAACCTACCGCCACAAGTAAGACGGCTCTTGAGAAATCCTGAAGTTCAGACTCTTCAAGACGAGTTTGACAGCGCCAGGATCTACCTCGCTCGCTGGGCTATGGGCATTCAGGAGCAGAGCGACCGCGATCGGAGACAGAGGATATGGTCTGCTAATGATGTAATGGAGCTTGAGGATACTGATGTTGGCGAATTTGAGCTTCTCGAAGGAGCCAGCAACCTTTCACTCGAGGAACGCCGAAAGACTGTGACAATGAAGGAGTGGAATACCTTCTTTGACCCTCAAACTGGCCGATTGTCGATCACTATTGATGAGGTCAAGGAGCGTGTCTTTCACGGAGGTCTCGACTCTGAAGACGGTGTTCGAAAAGAAGCATGGCTTTTCCTTCTTGGTGTCTATGAATGGTACAGCACTGCCGATGAGAGAAAGGCGCAAATCGCCTCACTACGTGACCAGTACTACAAGCTCAAGCTTTCGTGGTGGGAGAGGCTCGAAGGTGATGGAGGTGAGGGTGACACTGGAGAGTGGTGGCGCGAGCAAAAGGGACGAATTGGTAAGTTGCTCACCATCCCTCAACCCTTGTCCCCGAAGGAGTATATTCATGATTTGTCTACAGAAAAGGACGTCCACCGAACGGACCGCAATGTGCCAATCTTCATGGGCGAGGATATCCCCCATCCTGACCCAAGCTCACCTTTTGCCGAAGTTGGCACCAACGTCCACCTTGAGCAGATGAAGGAGATGCTCTTGACTTACAACGAGTACAATAAGGATCTAGGCTATGTTCAGGGTATGTCAGATCTATTGGCACCAATCTACGCAGTGATTCAAGACGATGCCGTTGCATTCTGGGGTTTCCAGAAGTTCATGGAGCGCATGGAACGCAACTTTCTGCGTGATCAGTCTGGTATGCGCAACCAGCTTCTGACTCTGGACCAACTTGTTCAGTTCATGGACCCAGTACTCTGGAACCATCTACAAAAGGCAGACAGCACCAACTTTTTCTTCTTCTTCCGCATGATACTCGTTTGGTATAAGCGGGAGTTTGCTTGGCTTGATGTTCTTCGATTATGGGAAGGCCTGTGGACTGATTATATGAGCGCGAACTTCCATCTCTTTATTGCACTGGCGATCCTTGAGAGACACCGCGATGTTATTATGGAGCACTTGCAACATTTTGATGAGGTGCTCAAATATGGTAAGTGGTTTTGTTCACCAAGCACACTGATCATATGCTAATAGTACATAGTCAATGAACTCTCTAACACAATCGATCTTGAGGCCACTCTGATCCGGGCAGAAACTCTCTTCAAGAGGTTCCAGCGACTTGTTGATGCTGTCGACAAGAAACAGAACTTCCCAGCTCCTCGGTACAACCAGAAGGAACCCTCAAAATCTTCTGAGCAGACCGAATCAGGGCCATCCAAGGGTGGTAAGGCATCTGGCAGCAAGGGCAAAGCTGCTGAGCCAGCGGCACCTCCGCCGCAGCCAAAGACGATTACACCTGAGTTGCGCAAACTATTAAGCAAGGAGGTAGAAGTGCTCCCGAGGAAAACGGTTGCGCAAAACGGCGATGGCATGCCAAACAAATCAGTATCTGAGACGAAGTAGTTGAGGTTCTGTCGATTACTGTCTGCTGCATGTATTTTTATGTCTTTGGGGATTTCTTGGTTTCAGTAATTTCTGGCAAGGAGTTCTTGGTATGACGGTAAGTTAGCAATGTTTCGATATATATAAGAAGCCCTTTATTACCATCGGGTCTGAATACACAAGATGCATATCACAATTCTTCGGTACGGGACATAACACCGAGTAAGCAAAAGTCCATATTACCAGGTAAAACGCCGCTCTATCCTATCGAGGGAGGTAAACGCCAGACATCCAACGTATGCTTTGCTTCTTACAAGAAAGGGCTTTATCTGTATCCCCTTGGTCCACTGGGCAAGCCTCCTCTCCTCAATCCAGCGTTACCGCCGCCACTTGCTTGATCATACATTCCGCCTGGCGCAAATCGGTCTTCATAACCGCCGCCGCCACCACCACCACCACCTCCTCCTCCTCCTCCATTATTTCCACCGGGAGGATTGAAAGGCCCTTGACTTCCAGCCTGAGGACTCGTTGTTCGCGATCCTCCTCCCCAAAGCCTCTGTCGCAATCTATCTTGCGCAGATCCTCCACCTCCACCTCCACCCCCGGAAGCACCACCAGGTGGCACGCTCGCCGTTTCGGGCCTACCGAATTGGCCGCCCGTGCTCTGGTAGCTGCCCGCGCGCTGCTGACTTGGCAGTGGTCGCCTATTAATATCACCGCCGCCGCCGCCGCCAGGTTGCAACGAGGCAGGTGTTCGTCCGCCTCCAGCCCGAAGACTCTGAGGCGCCTGTTGTTGTGGCTGTTGCGGTCCGTTGTCCCATAGACTGCTCAGACCGCCGTGTTGCTGACCTTGAGCGCCGGGGCGCTGGCCGGCTTGTGGTGTCATGACAGGCTGTATGGGTTGTTGGGCTGGTGCCTTGGGATCCGCGGGCAGCCATGAGGGGAATGGACGCCCCTTTTCTGTATAATAGCCACGGAGCACACGGCAGACGTGAGTATCGTCTTCGGAGTCGCCGTCTTGTTCGCCGGAGAGGAGATTCTGACGGAGGGAGGAGATTTGAGAAGATGTCTTCTGGACAAGGTTTGAGTACCAGGACGCCATAATGTGTTATGTTCAAGTGTTTCTTTTGTAGCTAGTATGTTGGCCGAGTTTCGCATCGATGGTTATTCAGGTGGAATGAAGTTGCGCCTATCGCGCGATGGGCTTGCTTGATGTAGGTTGAGGAAGCGGTATCGAAACCCAGAGAATGGCTTGAGCTGTAATTGAAGGCCTGAGGGGTGAGCGCAATGCTCTGTTGTTGTCGCAGTTGATTAGGTGGTGCAGCCAGCTGCTGTCGTGATAAGCCAGGGGCATACGAAAGGTGCTGTCAGTGTCAAAAAGCTAAGAGATGGCCGATTTGAAGAGCGGAAAAGGAAGATGGGAGGTGAAGCAGTGACGTTTAGAAAGGGATTCTTGGCCCGTGGAAGTGGAAGTGGAAGTGGAAGTGGAAGTGAAAGTGGGCTGGGGGAGTTTCATAGGTGCCTGAACTAAAATGCGCTGTAGGTTTGGGCGGGGCAATCGTAGGACTTGGGGCCTACCTAAGGTACATATGTAAGCTTTTGTCTGAACAGACTCAGACTCTATCACAAGTGACAAGACCTTTACAGGCATGGGAGGGAAGATAGTTTCAAGTACAACAAATTCATATAAAAATGTCGGCAGCCTATTTTGGTATCTATACCTTGCCAAGAATTAGCTCAGCAAAAATGAAGCATATCGCCGTGATATCTTCAGGCAGAAGGTTCGCATTGATGTATGCTTCACCTTTCGTAAACCCCTTTTTCCATCTTCCTTACAAAATGCCAACTCCTCAAACGCCGAAGCCTGATTGTTGAGACAGTCAATTACCATGTGAGATCGTTGGTGAGCATCAGCTTCTCCTTCTCCTCCTGTCTGGGCTTCTTGTTCTTCATCTTGATAGCACGTCCACGCTTTCGCTTGTTGCCAGACTTCTCGGTCTCGGACTCTTCGCTGTCATCATCATCGTCCTCATCTTCGTCCTCCTCCTCGTTTTCGCTCTCGAGCCAGTCCTCGAGGTCGCCGAGCTCCTCGTCACTCTCCTCAATATCGGAAACATACTCAACCTGTTGCTCCAGGTTGTCGTCTTCCTCCTCGCTCCACTCAACCTCCTCGCCGTTCTCGTCAAGACCCTTGTCCATGTCCTTGTCACGTTGGCCTTCGCCATCGCGCTCCATGGCATTGAGAACCTTCTTCCAGATAGACTCGCTGACATTGAGGGGCTGGTCACCGTAAGCGCCCTGTCGAAGACGCTCAACAAGCTCACGCTCAATGGTTCGCTCCAGCTTAGCAGCAGCCTCGGCCTTGCGCTCACGAGCCTGCTCACGGTGTCTGATCTTAGGGGCCATCTTAGGAACAAGCTTTTCACCCAACCGTTCCTCCTCGGCCGCAATACGACGCATGCGAGTTTGAACCTGTGTCAAGCGGGTGAGACGTTGCTTGCACTTGTGAATGAGAAAATTAGGCCAGTATATAAGCTTCTCATCTATCATGGACAATGCCTTGGAGTAGTTGCTAGGCAGTTTGTAGCGTTGCCACTATGACTATGATTAGTATCTTGTCACCTCGTATAACAACCAGAATTCTTACAAGTTTGCTTGGGAGATGGGCCCTTTCTGGAGTTTTGATCATCAAATACAACCGGTTTTGATGCTCCCTGACTGTAGCGTATCGCGAGTTTGCGAGAGGACATGACTGGCGGTTACAGAGACCTGTAACGTTGTGCTCATTACGACAGAATGTCTGGGCTTTGTTGGTTCTGGATAGAGGTTAGCCTATCATCTTGTATCAAGCCTAACCAAGTAACCAAGGCCGAGTAAGGGAAGCGGCAACTGACTTAATCTTGAACGCGCAAAATTGCTGACCGATAATTTGCCATATTATCTCGTCGGAGTTGCCACTGAAGCTCATCGTGAGAACGGAGTAGCTGGTCCTGGTGTTGGTGATAGTTTGGTGATGGTGTTGTGTCTTGTCCAAGTCTCCAACCAGACGAAAGGCGGCAATGCTTTCGGGGTGCGGGGCTAGTAACACCGTCTATCCAGTGCGATTATGATCACTGAAGATAATAACAGCTGATTCGGGAATTGCTGGCGAGCTTGTTGAGAACGTGCTGTGTCGAGAGATGAGGATATAGAGAAAGCCACAGCAAAATGTGGATGGGAGACACCGCACAGAACAAGAGCTATTCAAGCTCTATCGATAATCTTGCGTCGTCCTGGGCCAGAATCTCTTCGTTGATTCTAGAGATTGTGATACGTGGTTTGCGACTGCGATGATCGAGGTAGAGAGATCTTGGAGTTTTCTGGGTTTTTTTTTTATTTGACTGCGCTATCAGATAAGAAGGAGACCCACTACCTAGCCCACCAAGATGTGTTCCAACCACTTATAGCGTTTCATTTTCAATACCCACTTGAGCACGGAAGATAGTACCTCCGAATGGCTGACATCGGTGCTCATGCCTGGTGAGCCTGGAAACGAATACGTACCTGGTTAACAAGCTGGAATAGCATCATCTTGGAATTTGGCCTATTGTAGCCGCGTAACACACACAACGTCAACGAATTTCCCTTCCGGTCGCGTCCGACACAACCAGTCGCTTCGCCGCTTAAGACTCGATTTTTCCTCTATACCCGATCACTTTTCCTTTATCTCCCCACGGGGAGCTTACGTCGCCAACATCGCCGCATAACTCGTCCTCTCCAGTTCCATAAACACCATCGCCCAAGATGCCGACCGCCGGCCTCAAGACCATCATCGCCCTCTCCTTCGTCCTCGCCGTCGGATTCCTCCTCGTTATTCTCTCCTGCGCCCTGTGGAAGGTGTATTATCCTCTCCTTGTCGTCGCCACCTATGTCATTGCGCCTATTCCCAACTGGATCTGCGGACACTGCGCCAATCCGGATGACTTCGTGGAGAGCTCCGGCGCTGCGGTCTTAGACTTGGGACGCTTCTTTACAGGTTTCTTTGTTGTTATGGGAATTGGTAGGTCCTGCTCAGCCGGCGCAACGCTGCCGATACCAATGGGATGATTACTGTGCTGGAACTCACGTGGCTGACTGTTACATAGCTCTCCCTGTCGTTCTCGCTCACTCTGGTCTCATCGAGGTGCAAGCCATGGTCATGTCCATAATCGGCGGTCTATTGATCTACGGAACCATTGTCAGCTTCGGCATGTTTTTCCACGAGGAGCAAGATTTCTAAATGCGCGCGCAATACAGAGTCGCATAAACCAGAAACACTCGGAGTTGCCGATCCAAAGACGGATACAGAATGTTGCGTTTCAGGAACAGGAGGATAATCGCTAGTATAAAGCATATATAGCGCGTGTATGATCACAGAGGACAAGGACAAAGGAGTCACATGGGCATTCAGCGGGGTCTTAACATCAGTCTCGGGTATTCGCTAGGAGAATACTTAAGCTTCAGGACGGCAAAGGGAGGTTATAGTCGGTCATCAAAGATGTCCTTGTTTATGAGGAATATATCGTATCATCTTCTGCTATGTTCCGGATGTTTTGGTCCTGTCCCATCCGTCTATGTTGTTGAATTCCAAACCAAAAACTCCGACGATGTGTACGTTGAGGTATCATGTCCAAAGTCAAATGCTGCGCCTGTCCATCCATCCAATCCAATCTGGCCTCTTCATTGAGGTCCAAGTTACGCCGCGTCTCTAAACACACCCATAGGACCGGCAAGTTTGGTGAACATCTCGTCCCTCTCGCCTTCAGGGGTACTCAGGATTGTTACTGCACCTCCGGCTCCAATTCTCCAAACTTCTCTGGGCTCTGTCTCGCCCTCTTCAGCTGGAGCCGTCTCATCGTCCCATCTAAACATGGTTCGGATTGTGACACTCCAGTCTCCTGCACCTGCGACATCCATATATCCTACAACACCAGAGTAGAGACTTCGTTCGTGTTGGCCCTCAATGATCTGTAGAAGCTCACAGCTGCGCTTTTTCGGAGCCCCTGTCATACTTCCAGGGGGTAAAGCCGCGGCAAGGGCATCCAGACCAGTATAAGGGCAGTGAGAGTCGAAGCTGCTTCGGCGAGCGCCATGAGGCTTGTTTCCATTGCGGCCTGGGAGTTGTCCGTTGACCACAGTGATCATCTGGAAGACCGTGGCATATTCCTCTACCTTCATGAGGTCAGGAACTGTGACATGGCCAACGCCACAGACACCATGTAAGTCATGTCGAACCAGGTCGACAATCATGAGGTTCTCGGCCACTTCCTTGGGCACATGAAGGATCTTCTCGGCCTGTGCGAGGGTTGACACAGCCTCTGACTTGCGAACTGTTCCCTTCATGGGTCTCATTGAGCAGAGTCCGTTGGTGTCGTATCGAAGAAAACGCTCAGGAGAGCAGCTCAACATCGTAGCGCCACCAAGACGGATGAAAGACCCAAAGGGAGCTGGCTGCCGCTGTCTCAAGGTCTGATATATGGCCCATGGGTTTCTCCCGTCGTTTCTTGAACGGGGCCTTGCCATGGTTGTTTGTGATGTGAGACAGAGTTCGTAAGACTCACCAGCTGCAATGAAGTCCTGGCAAACACGAACTTGTTCTTCATACCTGTCTGGTTGTGGTGTTGTGATATTGACTTCCTTGTTTTGAGCACGGCTTTTGATGACATGCCCATTAACTGCATTTCTCACCTTGGTCGCATTCCAATAGTCGGACTGTTGAATTCTTTCCGTCATCTTATCAAGCCATTCATCGTTTGATCCTCGAGCCTTCAAGCTTTGAACATGTGCAACGCCAGCTCTGTGATCTAGAACAATGCTCCTCGTTACCCAAGCCAGACAAATATCTGGTCTCTTGTGGCCTCGATCTATTGGGATCATCTTCTTCTCAAGGCCGTGTAGTCCCATCTCGTAGGTGATGAATCCCATGAAACCACCCTTGAAAGCTGAGGTTGAACGGTCTGATCCAGGAGGATGGCTTCGCGTCTCCCAGAAGTCAGAGATGACCTCCCATATGGTGACTGTGCCGTTTTTGAGGCTTATCATCTCGGTTTTGTCATTTCCGTCTGCACTCGGGAGCCGTACCGTAACATAGTCATCGCAAACGTTGTACTCGAACCGTAGCGCATCGTCAACTTCGAGAGCTACGATACTGTTCAACGCCAGCGCATCTCCGTTCTTAGAACTCGATGAGTCAAAGATAATGGTCTCTCCCTTTGCCAAACCCAGCATCTCAACGAGTTCTGGCACGCCAGCCCCCTGAGGCGGGGTGATTGTGCGATGTGTGTATTCAAACCCCTTCGCAAAGTCTCTCAGCGAAGTTTCTGATGAGTTTGAGGTGAACCACAAATCGCCAAAGTGTTCCTTGTGCGCAGCTGCAGACTCCAGGTGATTCGGTGGCGAAAGAGTCTGAATCTCTAGTAAAGGTCCCTGTACTCGTCGTCCATGGTATTTGTTCCACTGCAGCGCAGCTTGGAACCAGTTGATGAGGACTCCCTGAGCATTCTTCTCCGTACAAACAGACTCGGGGTGGTATTGGAGGCCCCAGAATGGCTTCTTGTTGTGTCTCACACCTTGGAGGATCTGTTCCCTTCGTCCATCGTCTCTAAACTCAGTTGCCCACGCCAGTGGTGAAAACTCCGAAGTCGGCTTCCACCGATTCTCTTCTGCCCAGTCATCGCTGTATTGACCAATATCAACACAGAGACTGTGGTATAGAGTAGCCTTGAAGGGGGGTACTCCGCAGAATATGTCTTCTCCGTGATGCTCAATCTCTCTCACCATCCCATGAAGACCTCTTTTGAGTCTTCTCACTGACCCGCCATGCGCAGCAAGCAAACTCTGAAAACCAAGACAAATACCCAAAACTGGCAGCTGAAGATGTTCAGGGAGATCCCAAAGAAGATTGAATGCGCCGACGTCTTCTGGATTAAGCGGTGATCCAGGGCCGGGGCCGCAAACTACGGCGTCGAATTGAGCAAGATTGTTGATAAACTCTTGCTCGGTCCATTTTTTAGGTGCACCATCGTCGCTGACCCTGTCAACCACTGAGAGGTCGATTCTTATGACGAAGATATCAGCGCCTAGAAGATTTCGGAGAAGCGAGACGATATTGTAGGTGAATGAGTCGTAGGCATCGATAAAAAGAATCCGCTTCGGCGCTCCAACCGAGGGCTCTGAGCCTGTAGTCATATTCCAGGATTCTCTCAAAAGTAGAGGGAGAGTCTGATTGAAGGAGAATGTTACAGATTGAAGTCTGAGTCAGTAGATGAAAACAGATTCCGATAAGCTAAGCTTCGTCTTCGGCGTTCGATATAAAATCCAAAATCTTTGCCGCTACAAGCCGGAGCTGACTCGGGATATGAGCCGTTGGCTTTGGTTATAAAGCAAGCCACACTGCACGGCACATGCGGACGTTGATTATCAGGTGATCGGACAATGCAGAGAGTAAAGAGTACATCAAGGTTTAAGCTGTTGATGTGGAATTTGGGGCATTTTCTCGTTATTCAATGTCTCGATACAAGACTAAAAAGTGGCGACAATGAGTCGGATGCATGGAAGGACAAGTACTTGCTTCTGGAACGCCAAAGTTATGGCGCTACTGCAGGGTAATCATCAACAATCATACAGACTTCACAGCATGTGAAGATAAATAAAAAGACTCTTCTAAAGTGACATCTTATAGTATCAAAGGTCATTGACCGCTCTCTTTGCTATCCGCTAAATATCTACATCGCGTCGTAGTGCAAATCTCCATTATTTAATCGAGGCCAATGTATAAAGCCACAGATCCCTATCATCATCAAACTCCCTCCTCCTTCTCTCAACTAGCGATCTCTCGTCATCAATACACAAGGTTGTCTCGCATGCCAGATCCTTCTCTCCTTAACTCCGAGAGCCGCGTCCATCATCGTTTGAGACTCAGATCTCGCTCTTGTGGGTTCACTTCTGGGCTCATCCCAAACCTGCACCTCTTCTACTGATGCTGAAATTTCAAACTCTCCACGGCATAGCACTGTCATGCCTATCGAAATCTCGGCACTTCCGTGTCCCTCTAACACAGGGATGAGCTGCTGCAGAGTGCCGTTCCAAGCAAGCTTTCGTGTAAACTCCAGGCCAACATTTGCGGGCCGATGGCGAAGTGCAGGAAGAATTCTGACCAGAGGATGGATCTTCTGAGCTGTCCGGTTCGTGAGGCGTACCCTAAGTTGCATAAACTCATCGACGTATGCTACATTCTTTTCAGCTGCATTGCCATCCTTATCTTCAACCGAGATATCAATGTCAACTTCGTCAACCTTGATTGCTTCGATCATTCTCGACGTCAGTCGTATGCTTCTCAGATCGATCGAGCCACTCCTTTTAGGTAGTGATGTCGTCTTCCAGGTTGCTCTGAGACAGCTGAGAACCCTCTCTCTATACCAAAACCCTTCTCGATTCGCTCGCTCCATTTCAGGTGAAATCTTGCTGGCGCTAACCACGAATTGTCGGTTTCGCGAGGGGTTGAGGGTTGGTATTGTAGCATGAGGATCCTCCAGATACACCCTTTTGACTGGAAGAATAACACGGCTCGTATTTCCAGGCAAGATATCCTCCTGCACAGAAATTCCATCATTGCTCTCCAGCTGCACCACCATCTGGCTGGGCCAGGCGTTGCGAAGATCCACAGACAAGAGACAGTACTCATCAGGTTTGGCAGTAAAGGAACTGCCCAGGCGATCCCACAGGGGCTGAGGAATCTCCCCATGCACGGGTAGTGCATCGATTCGAGCAAGCTCAACACTAGCATTCACCGTCACGGTAAGATCCAGAGAAACTTGTCGTGTGTAGAATTGATCAGGCATCTCTTCTTGCGGGCATCCCAGATGAGTGTAGTCGATCTGGATCGTAGCCGCTGTGAGTCCGGGCTTACCAAGAATCTCAAAGTCGAAGGTAGCCTCTGCGTTAGGTGCAATATGACGAGTCTGTTGGCTGTTGGGAAGTCGCAGCGCCTGCTTCTTCATCAGTGCAAGCTCGTACTCGTAGAGCTCAGAGGGTGTCGCATCTCGGTTATTGATGGCAGTCTGGAGCGGTTCCTGTGTAGAGTCCTTAAAGGAGAAGAGCATAAAGTCCACTGGCGTTGATGCAAGATTCTCTAGCGTCACTGAAAACACCTGCCTCTCACCCTCCAGGATCATGATGGAGGATTGCGCAAGAGTTGTGGACTTGACAATCACCAAGGGTTGTGCTTGGATGGCAGTGAGACTCAAGCTTTCAGCCTCGAGCTTTGGAGCAAACGGCTTGACATCTGTGACCGCTTCCTCCAGCGCAGCCAAACCTTTCGCCTTGACCTTGACCTCCTGCTTTGGCGTCCAAGGCATAGAGAAAACAGGGAATCGTCGCTCACGGCATCCTCGAACCTTGATGATAGCACCCGTGACCTTGACAGTTCCTGCTTCCTTTGCCCTTCCCCTTAATCGGATCACCTGTGTTCGGTATGGCCCGACGGCAGTCGCCTCCTTGACAGCATCAAACTGCACGCCCTCGGTAGCCAGGTGGACAGATTCAACATCTACTTCGATATCATAGGGGTTCTGTAGTGTGATCTTGAACGTGGCGTATTCATCAGCCACAAGAGTTTGGTTTACCATCTCGTCTGGTTTCTTTAGGAAGGGGTTGTAGATGAAAGGGTCAAGATCTTGGGATGCACGACTAGCGGTAGCACCAGGAAGAATAGCCTTGGAGTGAGCTACCGGTGTTTTGCTGTTGAGAGAGGGTTCAAGCTTGATACCCCGGACAAAGAATTCATCCCAGTACTCAGCTGCTATGTCATTGTAGCCCAGCCTCTGCACAAGATTTGCGGTTCTCGATATGCCGGTAGCTAATCGAACTTGCTCGTCTCGCGTGATCATTGGTGAGGCATCCTCTCTCCTAGGTCCTGGAGCAACACCGGAACCGGCTGTTCGCAACAGATCACTCGAGAATCGCAAAACACCATCAAAATCTGGAAGTGCTTCGGAGAAGTTGATGCAGGCCCTTAGAATATTAAGCTTGACATCCGGAAATCCGAAGAAGCGCGCCGCAGACTGGCCGCGTATCCTAGCAATCACAGCTTCATCCGAGTCGTCAACACCTTCGTTGTTCTTGGCGCCCGCCTTTCTTGTCAAATCAAACCCAACAATGCCGTAAGACTTGCAGAGAAGGGTCATCAGAGCTTCTATGCCCTGTTCAACGTCACATTCTCCGATCTCTAGGGCCATGGAGCCACTGCTTGATCCACCTCCTCCTGAGGTCAACGACATCAGTCCGGCAGCAGGATGAATGCCCATGTCTGCAGCACCTCGAGTTCGCGCCTCGACAAGACCACCGATCAGAACAGACACCAGCTCCCGAATCACCATAGCCTTCTTTCGGTGAAGTCCCAAGGGCCCTAGAACAGTTGCTATGCCGCTCAGAACTGACGCTCGGTCAACAGTTGTAAGAAGTTCCGAAGCGCCCGCAGGGAATGCCTTGAAGAGCATCGCTCCGATTTGTTGTCTGGAGGGTGTTACACCGAACCGTGGAGGCGCAACGTATGGCTGCTCGGGGACAATCCCTGTAGCAATCATGGCTAGAGATTCTCGGTTCAGGTAGCCATTACAGAGGTGAAGAGCTGAGTATATTTTGGAAAATCGAATGAAGGCCTCCGACATGGGTAATGGAGGGAGGCTGTCCGATGATACTCTGGAGTACAATGTTATTATACGTTCCAGAAGCTCCGGTAGCAGCCATTGGAGATTTCTAAGATGCTTTGGTTGATCGGGGTCTTCAGGAGTCGGGTCTGGCGTTTGCTTGTGCGTTTGCTTATCCGGAAATTGGATCAATACTGTAGGCACATGGAACTCGATATTGGACCAGCCAAGGAGGAACAGGTTAACCAAGATCAGTTCCAATGCTTTTCCATGCCATAAATGATCATTTACAGATCGCGCAGCCATAGCACCATCGCTAAGCTCCTTAATCGAATCCGTCCAGCGCCCAGCCTGAAGAAACATGGAGCCAACAACAACCGCAGCTCGGCCTTTGGTTCTTAGCCTCCACCGGTCATTCACACCGCCGGAACCAAAGCCCTGCGTTGATATCCTATCGCGACTAGCTGAACGAGAGCTCTCTGTAGTCTCTTGCGGAGCAGGCTGTGGATCTGGTGTTGATCGGTCACTAGCTGGCGGGCTCTGACTATCCGTAGTGATGGGTGGATTTGACAAGCTGCTCTTTGGAGGTGTCGATGACAACCCTGGTGTTGAACTGCTCGAATGAAGTCCTGGCCTGGCGTTGGCTGGCATGGACATGCGCGCCTGTGTCTTGTCCATAATACCGCCCGCTGAATTAGAGCGCACGGAATGTCGTGAAGAGATACTTGAGCCTCTCCTGAGAAGCCCGTTCAACCCTCCCTCACCGCCCCACGAACCACCATTAGTATGTTTTGAAGTTGACGAATAAGGCACGGGGGACTCGATGTTGGTCATGGCCTCGAAGGATTTGGCCAGCGTTGTCATCTCAGCCAGGAGAAGCGAAGAGATGTCGCACATAACAGTCCTTAGCGTAGTGACAGTACAGTTCTCAAGAGGGGGGATGTCGACAAGACCCTCAGGCATTGGAATCTCGGTATCGTGAGGGTTGGCATAATCGAATAGTAGGACTTGGTGTACCAGAGCCTTGGGGTACATGTCGCGCAGGTCTTCTAGCTCCTGGTATAAAGCTCTAATGTTCTTCTCAGTTGTCGTCGGACCTGTGCCGTTTATCGACTGCCTCTTGTTGAAGCTCTTTTGATGTACTTCGGTGCCATCTGCCAGAGCTATTATAGCAAGGGGTTCTCGGTATAAGTCGAAGGGCGTCAGGGCGAGATGGGAGGGAGGAGGAACATGAGTAACGAGGTTGTATATTATGGCACCGTCTGGGTACGCCAGAGGCGAGAACATGTCTGCGCAAGCTGTGTCAGCGCCATCCTTAGCAGTTGAGAGCATGCCTTACTCCTATTAGGTCGGCCATCAGCGCTGATGTCGCGGAGGTGGACAACATGTTCCTTGTTGAGTCGCTCGACGAAGGAGGCGAATCGGTCTGCTTTGATCTGCCCCAGAGGTAAAAGAAGTGTCTTCACCCTCGCAGGAGCGACGGGGGCTAAAGGATCCAAGCTCATCCTAGCATCTGGTGTTTTCTCAACATGTCCGCCAGCGCAACGTGGTTGGTGTTTTAGTCGGTGACGTCCTTGGAGGCGTCGCAGGGTTATTTGTTTGGTATAAGGGGACGGGGATGTTAATTACAATCGCATTGTTGTGTCCGCGTCGCCTCTTTGAGTTGTTGAGCTGAGCTTCAAAAGTTGAATGTCGCCTTTAATCGCCGGATCTTGAGCTCTGTATCGTACACCTGTCGCATGCGGCTAGGAGCTGCTGGCTGTATGAGGTAGTCTAGGTAGCGCACCCTTACCCTTACATGGGTGGCCGGATCAGGTGGAGCCTCAAGGACCGGAGTCGACTTTTTGCGAGCCGATGACAATAGGTAATGCAGAGCATGCCAGTCACTTCAACTCCACGTCGACACTTCACTTATTGCTACTGTTTTATGGCTGATGAGAATGTTCCAGAATGGGTATCAATTCTTTCATGGCCAGCACTGAATCCCCGTGCTATCTGAACAGCTTAGCCCACTAAGAATCTCCTGTACTCCTGGGGTATCACGATTTTGGCCTCATTCACCCTATCCAACTTTTGCCGAAATACAACTGACACATACACTAAATGCTTAATACTGTTCCAATGAACAGCTGCTCGAAATTTACGCCATAATATTCAACCAACTGATGATGGCGGTCCTTGGGGACTTTGATCTGACGGCTTTCTCTCCCTTGCCTCGGCTTGCAGCTCACTCTCAAAGGTATCGACAGACAAACTCGCTTCTACGAAATCTTCAAGCTCTTCTGTAACAGTTTTCAGCTTCTCCTTTACTGCGACAGCAGCTTCGTGGCCGACAATGTGTCGTGCTGGGGGGTTTTCATGTCCGCCGATCGCTGAAAGAGCATGAACGGTCTCCATGACCAGCTTATCTGCTGCGCCGGGCGGTAACTTGGGGTAGCGATGTAAAATCTCACCAGGCGCTGCATCTGGTTCGAGGGAAGTACTGGCGGGGGACATAGGTGAAGGACCATAGTCAGCTGGTGACGAGGGGTATGGCAGCGCTGTATCCGGATGAGTATTGAGAACGTTGGCGAGAATGTCGCGAATGCTCGGAGCTGTTTCTGAGTATTGATCGTATGCAGCCATTTGAGGTGCAAAGGTCAGACGATTAGTCAAGGAAAGAATCTCCTTGTTTGGCTGTACAACGGTAACTCTGATGTTGAAGGGCGCAATCTCGTACGCAAGTGAGTCGCAGAACCCTTCGAGAGCCCATGTCGCAGCCGTATATATCGACATGCCTGGTGTGCCAATGTGCCCGCCGGTACTGGTTAGAACAATGATATGCCCTGTGTGTTGAGACCGTAGCTGAGGGAGAGCAGCTCTTATAAAGTTGACCTGGGAGAAGAAGACGGACTCGAACTGGTCGCGAACGAGATTTTGTGTGAATGGACTTGTCGATAGCTCCTCTACGGTTCCCACGACAGCTTAAGAGTGATTGAGTCAGTAAAATGCATCACCTTTGAGCCCTAGAACGCAGCCCCCAACATACCATCGGATTTACAGCATAGCAGGATATCGATACGCCCAAAGACCTGCACAGCTTCGGCGACAGCAGCTCCACAGCTTCCCATGGCAGCCCCATCGCATCGGATACCGCGTATACGGTCCTTCCAGCCCTCACGATCCTTTCTGGAGCTCTTGCACTCATTGACGAGCTCGCGAAACTCGGCGCTGCGGTCCTCATGATCGATCTCGTAGGGCGGTAAACATGCGACAACGTAGTCGCCATGTGACAGCAGTAGCCGGATGAGTCGGACGGACAGAGGGGAAAGAGCTGAAGTGAGGAGCCATGTCCGCGGCGAATTGTGCGTGGCTGTGGAAGGGTTGGAGTCAGCGTCGGCCATTATAATGGCTTGTACATGATTTGAGAGTGTGTTGGTTGCGCCCCGAGCAGTCAGTGGCAATTATGGCTTTTTTCTTGGCTCTTTTCAATGTCTTTGATTATGTAACACAGAGGAACAATCTCCAAAAAAGTTGCCAGCCTCAGCAAGAGGAATTGGTCGCAATTGATGGACTAAAATAAGCCAAGGTATGGGAAATAGAGTGAAATGCGGGAGAAGTAGAAAAGTGTGGAGTCGTAAGGCAAGGTAGGTAGGTAAGGTAAGGTAGAGCTTAGCTGAGCTTCCCTTGAACAAATTACATCATTGGGGATGGAGATCAGTGGGAGAGCGTATTGAACCAAAACATGCAACTTTGAACGCCTGATCCTTGCTTGACAAGCTCGAAAATTACGAGACAGAAACAGAAAAGACGAGAAGCTAAAGAGATTAATGGCCTCTTTATATGAGAGAGAGAGAGGAAATCAAGACGAAAGAGGAATACGCCGAAGGAGCTGAATGCCAGGGATGGACAAGCTAAAGTTAAAAGACAAAGTAAAATAAATAAAAATCGATAGCGAACAGCGTAAATGACCAAAACAAGAAAAGATAGAAAAAAAATCTGGGGACTCACGAAAGGAGGGGTTCGGTATTGAGTGACTGTTATGTCGTGGGGTAACGGTAAATGCCATGTCGTGAGCGCCGCGCGTTGGTGTTGGCCGTTGTGGCCCTAGCATGGTTATCGTATAAGTCAGTCAGATTGACTGATATAATAGAATAGAATAATCGATTGGTTTTGTGATAAGACAAAAGTAATGTTGTTTCTGTTTGTCAATGTCGTCTCTCTATTCTCCTTCAAGCTGGCTGTGATAGTCCTTCTTGTCCTGGACATGAACCAGAACCTTTCAGACGAATAGCTTCTTAGGAAAACGCCCAGAAGCCGTATAACCTAAAACCTCAACATTGACGAATAGTAGGATCCAAGGTTGACGCAGTGGATATGATTTTCGAAACTCCAAGAGTCAGTTCTCGACCGCCATTAACCCGTGTAAGTCAAAGAGCGGACCCCAACCAAATTCGATCAACCTGAAGACTAAGAGATGCAGCTACCGACACCATGCACCTAGGGTCTCGATATGGCCGATTGGATGATCAAGAAATCGGTCAGCACTTTTGCCGACGCAAGCTGCACTCGTGTGGAGTTTGGTGAACAAAAGAGCTTGGGGTTGTCGAGTGTTGGTCGCAGTGGGCGCGAAGGATTCATATAAGCAGCAGTAAGAGTAAGTACTGTAGTAGTAGTAGTAGTAGTGGTGGTGGTGGTGGTGACTTTAGTGTTTTGAGGCCATAGGCAAGGGCATGAATGAACAACGCATATATAATTACAGTGATGCTTTCTGAGATTGGATGTCAAGTCGTTCGTTGTTGGTTGGGTCCTTGTAAGGCTGGCTGGTGTAAAAGTGAGACTTTCCAAAGTCATCCCAAGACAACAAACAAACGAACGGAACCTGTAGAGAATACGAAGAACTGAAATAGGAATTCAGGAACTAATAAAAGAATAGACGAATATTATTTGTACTTTTTTCTCTTTTTGGAAACAGGAGGGGGGGGGGACCGAGAAAACAAAGAGTAAAGAAAGATTGAGGTGATTTGGTCCATCCCTCTCATCCAATGCCCCATATTGACGACAAGGGCAAAACATTTACCATCCATGTAGGCAATGGCCTGGCCTACCTGGTATGGCATGGATATGTACAAAGTAGCGTAGCGTGAGTTAAGGTAGCCCAACTTTTGAAAGAGGTAACATTAAACCAAACTGGACTGAACCTAACCTAACCTGACCTACATACATACATACATACTAACCACCAAAATAGACTCCATAGATACCAGAGAGTTACAGAACAAACTTCCTACTTTCAACGGCCATGCTTGTCTGTCCTTGTGGGTCCAGAGACTGCATTGCATACATAGCATTGCCCTCCAGACTGACTTTCTTGGCTGTTTGGGTGATCAACAAGGCTGCAACCGAGACATCCGATTAGAGAGAGACGAACGATTTGTTGCGTATCGTCACTGTGACAGACAGTTTGTGTCTGTGTCCTATGATGTCTCGTACAGATGACAATGTTTGGTCATAACGCACTTACATCCATCTAATGTACAGTACGTATGTACGTACGTGTGTGTACCAACCAACATGCAGAGGGAATGGGGGTTTGTTTGATGTGGCCTTCCAAGAGACATGAGGAAAACCCAAAGTCACGCCAGTTTCATATGTTTCCGATCCGCCTGCCGCTGTCATAGGGCAGAAATAGCTTCCAACCCCTGTCGCCTGAGGGTTGAGAACTTGAGATAAGTTAGGGAGGGATCTTTGAGGTGTGAGGCGGCAGACGAGTCAGGAAGCGAGCGACAGGGAATTGGAGGGTCAAAATCAAATTCCAAATACCGGGCCCTGAGGTGGGCTTTGGACTTTGGACTTGGGACTGTTCTTGGCTCTGGAGTACTAACTAGGTATACCTAGTACCTAACTACTAAGGTAGGAGGGATAGTACCTATCTAAAATCTCTGGTTCTATCTTTACACAAGATGTTACTCGTACTGCATGAACATCAAATCACACGACACAAGACGTTGAATCTATATCACCAAGCATTTCTTATTTCCATGCAACACAGCAACTGCATAACTCTGCCGCCTCACTCTTGCTCTTACTCTACTCTCCCCCATGGTCCCTCAGAGAAAAGAAAGAAAAAAAAACACATGAAACGATGAAACGCCATCTCAAACTCAGAAGCCAATACCATGGGTAGACCCTTGTCAAGCTGGCCTACCAGGGCTTAGGCTGTTTTTTCCCTTTAATGACGACGTCGCAAAAAACAAAAAAAGAACTGTCCTCAACTCGTCTTGTCCAGATCCTCAGAAACTCATTCTTGCAACCCAATCGACCCTCAAAAGGGGTCGTCGTCGGACAATTCTTTCCTCTCCTTGGCTGATAAACGTGAAATTGCCGATCCCACCAAAATTCGGCACCACCACAACGCTACTGTCGGCAGTGGCCCTGAGAAGAGTTACCGTGACGTCCACGAATAGGAGGGTCAGCCTTGGCCGTTACCTAGAGGCCTATGCCCTGTATGTACCCCGTAGCTGTAGGTTAGTGCCAAGAAGGCCTAGAACCTCCGGGTTAGCTTCCATGAGGGGTGGGAAATGGTGCTGATTGGCCTTTCGGCAGTGGACGTTGGCTTCTCCGAGACAGGGTCTTGTGCTTCATCTCAAAATCAATTTCTCACTGCATGCGTTGATAAATGTCTGCTAACTACGGAGTAACGAGTGCGCTGTCGGCTGTCACTGTCACTGCCACTAACGCCTGTAGGTAGATACCTAGGCAGGCAGTCTTTCTGGTCTGCGTGTCTAGGTATTTCCCCATGCTGGATAATCTCGCAAACATCACAACACTAGCACAATACAGTATAACATAACCCATTTACCCTTGTCAAGTGTCAACGTCTCACGGTTTATTCTCTTCGGTCCGATCTCGCACTGGCAGATAATGATTGACATTTAAATCACACAGAAACACAAATCACAAAGCACAAACCCCACACAAACTACTATCGACTCCTTAACCACGCTTGCTACGACAGGGACTTTTGCATACAGGACCTTACAGAGTTTCGAACCAAGAGAGCTCGAGCCCTCTCCTTAGTCCTAGGTAGATAGACAATCATGTCGAGAAAAGGAGGTTGTTGTCCGTCTCAACACTTCACCTCACCTCACTTCACTTCACTTCACTTCGATAACCTTCTAAACAAGGATAAATTAACTTTGCTATAGTAACCTAGACCTAGTCATGCTCAGACTATCAGCGTCCCATGACTGACTCTTGGAAAGCATCCTTCATATGAAAGCTTCCGAGCACAGCTTGGCACACCTCAGTGACCTCACTGTGACATGTTGCTACTGGCCTATCGGGTCGATTCCACTGCACGAGGATAGGTGATACGTGAGATTTTGGATGTTTGGTATCACCGTCACACAGACCGTTGCGATCTCGAAGATATACTTTGATCTTGAAACGCGGTCCGTCACTAGCTTGGCTCGGTTCCCCCTTTGAGATTCAACGTGTTTTTCTCCTTGATTTTCGAGAACTTCTTCTGCATATGTAACTCGTAAAGGACAGAGCCAATCGGATTTTTACAACGCGTCGGTACGGATAATTTAGAAAGTCAAACATGTGCGTGCCTTGTTGCATTTAACCGGAGGTTTCTTTTGAACCAGGCACAAAGGTATTGTCTGTATGTGTCCTTCTGATAGTGATAACTCATTGAGGTATCGCTGCAACTCGGTACATACATACATACATGTGCAGTGCCCGCAGACTGCTAGGTATAACAGATATCATCCTCAAGCTTTACTCCTAACAAACAGCCAAACTCATCAAACTTGGTCTTCAATTAGATTTCATCCCCTGAGCACATCTCCCTTCACCCACCGATTCATTAAACCTTGGCGTTAACCTTAGTGCTTGGCGGTCTTGATGTCGGCAACTTCTTCCCGGATGCTGGGCGTGCGGGCGCCTTCAGGACCCTCGGCATCGAGCTTGCTGTGAAGGTCGCCAACGCCAAAGAGCTCGTCCATCTGCTCCAGACTGAGACCCTTGGTCTCGGGAACGCAGAGCCAGACAAAGACACCCATGATAAGATCGAAACTGCCGAACATGAAGAACATACCCTGTCAAGTTTTGATTAGCTATCTCAAACTCGCCAAGATGATTGTATCGAATACTTACGTAGCCGGCAGGTCCCATGGTCTTTTGCATGGTCAGGACAGTTCGGGCGATGATGAAGTTGAACAGCCACTGGGTAGCGGCACCGATGGCGACATTCAGAGCGCGAAGACGGGCGGTGGGAATCTCAGAGACGAGAATCCAGCAGCAAGGTCCCCAACCGAACTGGAAGAGAGCAGCCCAGAGGTAAATGCACACAATGGCAACGTATCCAAAAGCAGAGATGCCTTGTCCAGCAACAGGA